CTTCTGCGCGGTACGGAAATAAAGGAGGTTCTTATGATCGGTGAAAACAATGATTGGATGGGGGTTTCCTTCCAAATAATGACACCATTCCTGAAGTGCACGGATAACGGCCAGGAGTTCGCGATCGAAGATCTGATAATTTCTTTCAGCGGGGTTCAGGGATTGGGAGAGGTATCCGCATGGATGATACACGCCGTTCTCATCTGTCTGCAGTAAGACAGCACCCGTTGCAACAAGAGATGCATCGGTGGCTACTGCGAATTGTCGAGACGGATCAGGGTTACGAAGAACAGGCTGTTTTAGGAAACACTCCTTTAGTGTTCTAAATGCCTCTTGACACGGTGCAGACCAAAGGAAGACGTTATCTTTCTTTGTAAGGTCGATAAGGGGTCGTGCGATATCGGAGTAATGAGGGATGAAGTTCCGATAGAAGTTACAGAAACCTAGGAACGATCTAGTTTCCTTAACAGTGGATGGAGTTGGCCAATCGCGGATATTATTATAACCAGATCGGACGTCCATCTTGGTGAAATACTTTGCTCCATGTAACCGTGCGACCAGGGATAAAGGAAGCGGCAAGGGGTAGGCGTTCTTGATCGTCCAATCGTTGATATATTGATAATCTTGACAGGGTCGGAGATCTCCGCTCTTCTTTCCTACGAAGAAGAAACCGCTGGCTTGTGGCGACTTGGACTCCGAGATAAAACCTTTCTTTACATTTTCGTCAATGAATGCTTTAACAGCGGTTCGTTCGGCGATAGAGAGGGGATAGATTTTCGACGTTTTGGGGATGAATCCGGGTTTCGTTTCAATACGATGGTCAATACCGGGTCGTTCAGGGGGGAGTTGATTAAGACCGTCTTTAGCGAAGATATCAGCGAAGTCGTGGAGATAGGAGGGTACGAGTTCTTCGAAAGTTTTCTTCTTCTGTTCTAAGCCCGCAGCTAGAGCAAACTGCTGAGCTTTGTTACTAACTTTCGCGTATTCCGTAGGCCGTGGCAAAGGTTTGACCGTGGGTTTCTGTTCAGAACGACTGGTGCCGTCCGGGGTCAATAGCGTATCCATGGTAGTATTTGAAATTACCCGGAGTTTGGATGCGTCAATGGAGTATTCCACCAGAAATTCGTCGTCATCTAGGTTATACATAGAGACTTCTCGCACTGGTGCGGCAAAGTTCTCTTGCGTCCAGACGTCTTCCTTGGTATCAAAAGTCTCATCGTCTTCGTCGGGGATGGGGAGTAGATCAGGTAGTAAATCAGTGGTGGGATGGGCATGTGGTGCTTCTTCGTCAACGATTTCTTCGATGGTTGCCTTAGGATAAATGACAGGGGTTTCGGCGATTGGTGCTTTCTTAAGTTTGGATTGCTTCCAAGTCCGATCTATGGGTTCTTGTCGAAATAGAAGTGGAAGACCGTTCTTCTTCCTTTCTTTGTCGACTTCTTCTTCAACTTGATTACTCTTTTCCGTTCGGGAAAGGATAAGAGTTTCAGCTGCCCAGTCAATAACCGGGTTCATAGCCCGTAGCCAGGGGATCCCTAAGAGAATCTGATCTCTTCTGCCAAGACGTGTGACGTTAAACTTCCCTATCATAGTTCGTTCGTCGATCTTGATGGTGAGAACGCAGTATCGGCGTATAGCTCCGCTTTTGGAATAGCTTCCATCGGTGGTAGTAACCCGGAAAGGTTTACTAAGGGCGTGGGTTCGGATCTTGTGTTTCTTGACGAAGTCTTCTGAGATAAAGGTTCCGGCTGCTCCGGAATCAACAACTGCGGTGGTTTCAACGGTTTTCAGACGTGTTTTCGAAATGAGGGAAAGGGGAACTCGAAGTTCTTTTCGTTCACCAACTTTTCGTACAAGTCTTATGGGTACATCGAGAGATACTGACGTTGATCCAGTCTCCCATATTAAAAATCCTCGTTGAGGCGGCGGACTTCTGCTTCTTCTTCTTCATCATCATCGCTGCTTTCTACTTCTTTGCGGCGTACCGGAGTCTTTCCTTTCTTCTTTTCTGGACAGTTCTTAAAAAGATGTCCGGTCTTGTGACAGGTGAAACACTTTCCGGTTCGGAAATGTTCCGCGCGTTCTTCTTCAGAAAGCCGATCAATTACCATGGCGTTGGGGTCTCTAGATGGTACATATCGGTTAGATCCGAAGTTCTTCTTCTTCTGGGGTTGGTTGCCCGCCCTGATGGCGTTTAGGTGAAGGCGTGAGTTGTCGAGATTGATACAAGTGGAGAGGACAACTTCGAAATCATCGGAGACATCGCCCGTGCCGTAAAGGCGAGCGAGCAGTCCTGGGTGCAGTCCGTCTAGGAAGAATTGCTTCTTCGCGACGTCGCCTTGAATTCCTGCCCGTCGTGTGAGCATTAAGAACTCCGAGATGTAATCTTGAAGTTCAGTTCCTTGTTTAAGGTTACGGAGCTTGGCTAGCGCCGTTCCTGAGGGGTCAAGCGGCCTAAACGCGCTTTTGAAGTTGGTAAGGAATTCAGTCCATGTACCGTATCCTTTGACAAGGCCTGCGGTGGTCTTATTGTTAGGGTCTTGCGCTTGTCTGAGGAAATCTTCCTTCCAGTAGCGCGCGTTCCCTTCATTCATGAAGGAGGTTACGAAAATGATCTTCTGTTTGTCGTCGACATAGATTTTCTCGTTAATATCAAGATAGGACTGGCACGACATCAAGAATCCTTCGGATTTATCTCTATCCCCGTCAAAGACCGGGGGAGAACCGATTTTGATTTCAATGGGTTTCGTAGAAGACATTGGGGGGTTCAAAGGTGGTAGGGGTGGTACAGCACCTAGGTTCAAAGCGCCAAAGATTGGTGTCAAGGACGTCAGCTTGTTAGCTTCTGGGGACCTGGGGTTCTATCTGTCGTGATGACCAGGGTTTGTTCTGTTCTGGTTTTACAACACGTGATAGCGATGTATTCGTAGAAGGACTTTAATCTTTTGTTACGAACTAGGATGGTTCTGACGTATGGCTACTCGATAAGAGTAATCGGCCAAGGTCGGTTCAAGGCTTTGGCGTATACCGAAGTTCAGTAGTTTCTAAGACAAGTCTAGGAGAGTGTCCTCGACTTGAATCGCGTTCAATACGACTTAAGATTGGAGGTCTTAAGCGAAGGAAGTTCCAGGTAAAACCTAGTAAGATTAAAGTAAAGAACTACATAGTACAGGACGAGTGTATATAGCGAGCGGTAACGACTTTAGGGCCGGTACTATGAGATCATAAAGACGAGTCAGAGATAAGACGAGTCAGAGATACCAAGAATAGATCATCTAGCGACGGCAAGATGCGATCGTGATGTAATACAATGATGTAAGGGAAAGAAAATGAATAGGGGCGTACGTGACTGTAACACAAGCGGCGATGGAGGTCAAATGCAGATTCTACCGTGATTGTATCATGAGAGGGAGTTGTGGAAGTACTGGCAACCGATGCAGTCGCTAATGGATGCGTGATAGTTGTAGAGGAGGGACGAGTTTTCCAGTAGGCTTCCATAGTGGTCTCTACAACTTTCAAAGCCTTGTCATGCCAATCCTTAGCATTGAGGTTACCAGCCATGCGCTCGTGTTCTTGCTCTTCATGTCCTCCCCAAGTCATCTTCATATATTCCAGTTTGTAGTATGGATGAAGAACTATAATGTCCATTAGTCTGATCAACAAAAATACAATATGTAAGTACTCACCAAGCGCAAGCACATACACAGGTTTTTCGTCCATCTTCTGATAGTACTTATTGACCTTATCAAGTCCCTTCTGAACTGCGACCTGGTAGAGTTCATACTTTGGCATGCTGCGCTTCTGTTCCCACGCCATCTTCAGCTCCTCGAAAGCAGGGATTGCACGCCATAGAGTTGGTTGACTTTCGGAAGAAAAATACTGCTGGATTTCATTAGCGTCCTGTGGAAATATTAGTATTAGTAGATATATACTATAAAAATGAACATACCGAGATAATGACACGTGTATCTTCAACATGGTCCCAGTCACTGCTCCTGAAGGTAAAGGCGCTCCAGGCAATGTGTTTTGTCAGTCCAGAACGCCAGATGGTAGTGATGGGGCCGAATAGCTCGTCTGCAGTACTGATAAACATATTTATAGGCTGTGCAAACGGATTAGTGATGTAATGTTAGAAATCTTTTTTTTTGCTTACCTGTCGCAAGAGATATGCACGTCCAAGCATACCATCAGCTGTTCCCCAGCATTATGTTGCTATGGAGAGGTATCTTGAGTGGGGTCTTGAACCCGCACTTCACTTGAAGTGTCTGAAAGTATTCGATTTGTTGACTTGAGCACTGTATCTGTTAGATCATTAGGTTTATGAATAACAATAGAAAAAATGTGAGATGCACCTTAATTGCAATAGTGCGCACAGCTGCAACAACATCTAGTGAGCCTCCTAAGACTCGATTGTTGGACAACAAGGGATCAAATTCCCAGATTGCAGGTAGTAGTTTCCACAGCGGCAATGTGAGAGATGACAGACATAATAGCAACGATAGCGAGATTGAGAACATGAGCAAGGCAGGGGAGACAGTGTTGATCAGAGCTGAATGAGTAGATGTGGTGCCAGGTGTAGAACATGCTCTATCTTGTCACATGTTGTGTCGTTATTGCTCGTGTTGTCAGCTGTTACAGTGAATAGCTGTTGTGAGGTATATGAAGTTAGTAGTAGCCACTGCAGGCAAAATATAATAAGAAATACCTTTGTAGATTGTCCTGACACAATACCCACCCAGCTCGCACAAGCCAACTATGTATCTTCCCAGATTTACTCCACTATGGGCACCAGAGACACCGCAGAATGCTATAACTTGTGAGTGCAGATTCCATTTGTTCTTCTTGACCTCAATCCAGTGTGCGGTGAGCCCAAGGAATGATGCCTTTGTTTGGTCAATGGACCAGAGATCTGTAGATGTAGTGACACGACCAGTAGTTATGGACTAGATTACATTAGCAAATGCATTCGCATGTATGAAAAAATTTACCTGTATATCAGCCTTGACACTTTCAATGAGCTTGATGAATGCATTGTGAATATAGGTTGTGATATCGTGAGTCAAAGGTAATTCTGCTGTAGTTGACGCTGGACGCATTGTAACCAAGCAGTTTCGAAATGTGGTCTTGTTTGCCACCGCTAGAGACTGATAACCGTTATCATTGAGATTCACAACGCACTGAAAGATCTCACTTGATCATCACAAACAATAAATTCCGCTACTGCACACAACACACTATCTCTTGAAAACTCTTTTTTCTTCTCAGCCTTCTGGAACAGTCCGTCTATCTTCATCTGCTTTCCTTTTAATCCATTGGACTGTAAATTCAACAACTCGCAAGGGATTGCATAGTGGTGCTCGGCGATCCCTAGCCCCTTACATGTAGCCTGGTAGTACTCGTAGTGACCACATATATGTTGATGGCAAGATGAATTACTGCCTAGGTGAAACACTTTACTGCTTCCCGTTCTGCTTTACAAAGATTTCATCGTCCCTTGGAATGTATGGTAAGCTTTCTGTCTCGATGTATCTCATACTAACTTACTTGCAAACTATGCACCAGCGCCCTCTCTTTTTATCCACCACACCCTCAATACCAATGAACTTCACTGTGCATTTCTGTGTGAACACGGTAAGTAGATCATTGGCCTGCTGTTTCTTTGTTGCCAATGGAGCTGGAATTTCGGCCTTGTGCTGTACACCTAGATCACTCCCCTCCTTTGTTATCACATATAGTATGAGCTGACGGCAAATTTTACAGCATGCTTTACTTACAGCATCTTCACCATCATCATTCTCGGTTTCCTCATTGCTCTTGACATCAGACTCGCAGTTAATGACCTCAACCTCGCTGTCCATGACATTTTCAATATCGCACACTCCTTCAACCTCCACTGCGGTGCTTTTCTCTTTCTGACTATGTTTGGAGCTGGCATTTTTCTTCTTCTTCGAGGTACGCTGATGTTCATGGAGGCTCTCATTGCCGCTATCAGAGTCTTCATCACTGACCACCCGTCTTTTCCGTTTAGAATTCTTTGGTGACTTTGGAGGCCTTGGACGAGAGCCTGTCTGGGTCGCATTCCGTGTTTCAGAGCCAGCAAGGGACTTTGCTGTTATTGTTCGCTTGCGTGAAGACTTCCGAACATTGCCTTGATTTGACATGGCGAACTACAAGGTTTGTTTTGAGGCAAGCAGATGTTGGTTTGTTTCAAGGCAAGGCTTCAAACTATGCTATGCTATACTCATACTATCCTGCCTGCAAACACGTTGTATAGTAACCAATTTTGCCCTATGTAGACTTCTGGAGTGGTCTTAAGCAGTCCTATACAGTTACAGACCGGTTGCATCTGCAACCGGTTGGAAACCGACTGCGAACCTCATTGCTACTGCGCTCGACCGTTTTCCAAGAGTTCGGTCCAGGTTGCAGGACAAGGTTGAGTTTATGCAGACCAGTTTGGGTCCGGTCTTTTGAAAATTGGTCAAAAGACCGGACTTGAACCGGACTTTTAAACCCTAATCTCATGGTCAGTTCTGCACAGAATTCATTGGGCAGTGTCTCCCGCAAGTGCATGGTGCAAATAGGTGGTAGTAAGACCAAGACTCTGCGAGCTAGCAGTATCCAACAGCGCGAAGACCAAGCAAAATTATTTCGTGCTGAATTACTCAAAAGTATGGTACAACATCTCCTCAATTTAACTTAGCTGATTGTTGATAGAGTTGCCTCTGCACGAGCGAGAACGACTCCTAGTCTCTGAGTCTCTTGCCAAAGCACCATCACACGCCACAACGGACACTCATGTGGACAACGACTTGATGGATTTTGATGCCATGCTCCCTCCACCTGGCAAAGAAGGGTTTACTGTCAGCCATTGGGGTGAGGAACATGCCCTTTATTCAGAGCTTGAGCAGATCACACATGCGCAAATCAAGTATGTCATTCTGTGCTTGTGTATTTTCTGTCTTACCCTCTGTTCTCAGACGTGTTGACACACGCAACTGCAGCCTACGTGTTGCACAACAGGTTGCTGCATGGAGCGATCAATATGATGCACTTACGGATGCACTACTCGCTTACCAGCATGATGGTATTGAAGTCCCTGAGGTTGATAATTCCGATGACGTGTCTGAAATTGAAGTAGTAGACATATTCGGTGAGAAGCAATATCATTTCCTATTTACTACTGGTAACCATGCTCTAGGTTGTTCCATCCACAGATTCAAGCACGAGTCTATGTTCACCAATGTGACCTTACTACACTATGGATGCATTGGTTCATCGCCAGTGAAGCCTACCGTTGCTATCACAGTTCGGACCCTCGCTGTCTACCGACAGACACATTGTGTGTCCTCGCCTCAGCATCCACGCCGAAGCCAAAAAATTGTGTCACCTGCATCATGTAAGTGCTGTCACTTTTGGCATGGTCTCACATAGTTGACATATAATTCAGGTACGCTATAGTCGCTATCTTGCAGAGCAACTCTGCACTGCCTTCAATGTTTACCTTGAGCTTCAACGACAGATTTCATGTCGTCTTGACAAGCACCTTGGTCGTGACACTCCCAACTGGCGGATGTTGAACTCATGCCCAGTGTGCCAGTACAGACTTGAAGAAGAACCGCCCTTACTATATTCCATCATCTGTGCCTGTGATGGCAACAATTCGGCCAAACTCATGGATCCAGCAGTTCATCATGGGGTGGAGCGGTTAGACCCTCGTTCTGGGACATCCTCCATTTGGCTTAGTGAGCCATATGTTGATGGGTTTGCTGATGAGGTAGGGAATGCGCAGAAACAGTCAAAGAAGTCTCGCCCTACTGCACCTGCATCATCAGTCCATGATCCTGATGATCCTTGGATTGAGGATCTTGATTCAGGTGATTCATCTGAGCCGGTGAGCATATGCGTTGATTGATGGCGTAATGCTGCACCAGAATCACGCAAGAAGATGTTTGCGATCTTCAAAAAATCAGGAATATTCATCACCGTCTGCCGTCATGGCTTTCTTCTGACCATATGCAATATGGTTCGAAGTGGTGAACTGTAAGTGTTTTTTCTAGAATGATTACAATGGGACGCTAACACTCAGTATAGTATGAAATACCCACTCGCTAGCCTCAACAAATTGATGGAAGTGTTCGGCAAGAACATCCTTTACAGCTACGACATCAAATGTGCGCTTGAGAAGATCCTACTCCGCAGCTCACTAGCAAATTGCATCAAGGAACTCAACCTTCAGGGCGTGGTTCCTGCCTTTCATGGTCATGCTCACAATCACCTTTGCCAGGTCCAGCATCATTCTAAGTATAAGCTTGGTGCTGGTAAGGAAGATTTCGAGACTTGCGAACATGTCTTTTCAGAGTCTAATGCTCTGGCATCTGAAACTTAGAACGCTACCGAGTTTCATCGCCACCAAGCTCTCGATGAACACTTTCGCTTCGCTGACATGGACAAGTATGCTAATCTGTGTACATCCTAAGTTCAATTAAGTTACAATGCTGACACAACACTTTAGCTAATTTTCTCTACAACAATTATGTTCAAGCGCTCGAGGCTATTGCTGCCACTTCTACATTCCTTGCCGAATCTCCAATTGGACCCGATGCGCCTTTTGAGACCGATTTGGCTGATGAGAAGACGTCGTTGGAGAAAATGTCCTGCAAGCAAGATGCCACGTCTGTTCAAGTTGACTATGTGAAGGCGTTAGTTGAGTATGACGATGCATTGTAGGTTTTTCCCATCAGTTTTAAAATTGTTATTAAATGTCATTATGGCAGGCTTGCTTATGATGCAGCTCGCACGGAATTCTGCAGGCTTGATCTTCAGGCAAATTGCTCCTCAAAGGAGATTGGTAACGTTAGGCGCCACCACACTCACACCGCTGCTAAGTGCGACCAAAAGCAGAAAATAGTTGAGGACTTTGAATGCCAGATGGAGATTGATGAACATTGGGGTCCTGATCACCCAGAGCGCATTCAGGCACAGTCGTGTATAACACACCGGCTCTTTTTCAAGGCTCTCGATGATGTTGAGAGACTGGTGGTCATGCGATTATTGGAACTAACGAAGTTGCAGATGAATGGTCTTGGTAAGTTCTAGTCTACGTGTTGGCATGATACTAACCCAAAGGTTTTTTACTTAGGTTACAAACTTCGCACTCAAATTTCCAAGGCCCTCAAAAGCCGTTGTGGGAAACACAACAAGAAGAGAAATCTGTAAAGTACTCTTCAAATGTTGGGTCAAAATTGCTATGCCTAGCTGCTATTCGACCCTAAAGGATTTCTGTACTAGACTCAGAGCTCAGAGAGTAGAAATATCATCAAGCAAAAGACTGTGATTCAGACTGGTACTGACAGTGGTGAAAGGGAGACATGATTATGTAAGCAGTAAAAATGCGAACATAAACTAAGGAAAGTGGGTAAGTGAAGGTAAGTAAAAAGGGGGAATATCAGCCCAGGGAAAACTATATTGTCACACCGTGCAACTGCTATCCGAAATGCCCTTCAACGTTAGAATAAATACGCTGCCAAAATGATGCTGCCCCGCCCTCCACTTGAATGGACTCAAATTGTCAAGTATTCTTTTTTAGCTGAGTTCGACTTGCTATGTGATAGTGACGAGCAGATTCAGACTAAACGGTGGGCAAACCTGCTTTATCGGCAAGCATCAACACAATACTTTGACGGTGTGCGTGCCAAGGAGGAAGTGCAGAGACTCAATGTAGAAGTTGGTCGTCTGATGACGAAGATTCACGATGATGCTATCTACTATCCCAGTGCAATCACTGCCCTTTCCGCTGAAGACTCACCACTTGCCTCCGAGCTGAGTCGGCAATGGGATCAGCTTCAGTCGCTGAATTTGTGGCATCGGCAACGGATCTGTCAAATTCAATCTCTTCATGGATATTCTGGCCTGCTAATGCCAGGCACACGACTTGGATCAGCTGGTGGTGTTAGTTTGGTTGATGATGCTTTGGCTAATGGTGGAACTGCTATTGACGAAGATGTTGACAGTGAGGAACCTTATGATGGAGAACGCATGCAACAGGTTGAGGGTTATATTGAAGGACTTGAGCGTCATGCTGCCGATGATTTGTAGTCAAAGTATTGTAGTTCTTCAATGATATCTGTTTGCTATGCTCTTGGAACTTGCCGATCTTTGAACTCGGCGACTGCCTAACTTGAACATGTCTTTAAATGTGTTGATCTCCACATATTGCCCAAGCGCTCAAAGGTCTTGAATCGTTTGCTTCAATCAAATACTGCAGAACTTTTACTTCTTTATTTGAATATCAACTAGAATACTTAGGCAGTGTTCAAATGATAGATGCTATTTAAATGATTCAGTGTGAAGAGCTGTTGAATGTTGAACATTAACGTTTGAATGATCCAAAATGTTGTAACTTGCAATTGTCTACTTCGGGACAGTACTATAAGTGCTTGCACAACTTGTTGCCATCTTGCACCTTGGTATTCTACATCATGCCTCCATGGAATCAGACACAATACAATCGCGATCCAACAGTAGATGGGCTGAATGAAGCTCTTGCCTTAATTCCTCTCCCACACTTATTGGCCAACATCAATGGCATTCAAGAATGGTGGAAAGTCGCTGTACTTGCCATGCTTGTCCATCAACTTCACAACGACAGCAATCACCTCGATCTTACTCACGGATTCCATCCTCTTACTTCAACTCATTATCGTACAGGACTGTCACACCTTGAATCTAGTCGGCAAGTCAACCAAGAGCAGCGGTTGAATCTTTGGCAAACTCGCACTGATCACACAAGGACCATACTTTCCCTCATCTTTGATCTGGTACATTGACGGTCCTATTCACAAAACATCGACTTATGCTGATAAATGTGCTGCAGTGCACCACACTTGATAGGCTTACAGGTGGCTCGACTTTGTTTTTACATCACCCTGGTGCTACCACTCCAGGTGGCATTATCAGTCCTGAGTCGTTGAAAGCCACCCCATGTTGTAGTCCTAGGCCTTATATACTGGCAGTTGCCACAAAATGCTTTGTCAAATAGTATGGGAGTTGCCATAGGCTCATTTTGCCCTAGCTGTTGGCTACAGGTCACAGCCACTTTTTTGGCATTTTTGAAACCCAGCTATTTTTCATTCCACTACAGCTGTTGGCTACAGGTCACAGCCGCTTTTTTGGCATTTTTGAAACTCAGCTGTTTAGAATACATTCCATATTTGGTGGAGGATGTATTCATATGTTATGACCGCATTTTTTGGCTTCCAAAAGCGGAAATTCACAACACACATTCTATTTTTGTCACCTTCTCATATTAGGCCTCCCCACATTCACCTGGGTGGCACCACCTAGATTAGGAATTAGTAATAGTACTGTGTACCTATTTCTGTTACTAATTCATAAGGAATAGCTACAAGCCCCTCTACCAGCAGTACTCCCAGCACATCAGCAGTGACTTGGGTGAGCTGAACAGCCTGCCAAAAATAGAAAAATACCCGGTAATTCTGACGCTGTTGTCACTCCCTCAGCAACTGATGCTGGTGGCTAAATTAGGCTTTCGACGCTGTCAACATTCCCACCCCACCATCGCCACAGTTTGCTCATCGTTGGAAACGATGAGCAACCTGTTTCGCCTCTCCTGCCATTGTTTCTTACCGGACCCTTGTTGCACCTTGTGCAGTAGACAGGGACAGTCATTGTTTTGCTATCTACGTTGTTCTCGCCGCTGTAGGACCACTCCTCACTGTGCTCCTCGACATGAACAGTGAGTTCAGTCTTTTTCCTCTCCCACCATCATTTCTCACCGAATTGTTGCCGCACCTGGTACATTCAACAGGTATATTCATTTGTCACCTATCTACGTTGTCCTTCCCGTTGTAGGACCACTCCTTGCTGCACTCTTCGACATCAACGGTGAGCACAATCCTTCGCCTTTCCCTCCATCGTTTCTGACCGGATCCTTGTTGCACCTTGTGCAGTGGACAGGGATAGACATAGCCCACTTACCTACATCATTCTCGCCACTGTAGGGCCGGTTCTCACTTCACTCTTCGACATCAACGGTGAGCTTAATACTTTTCCTCTCCCGCCATCATTTCTAACCATACCCTTGTCGTATCTTGTGCAGTGGACAGGGATAGGCATCGCCCACTTGCATACATCGTTCTCGCCGCTGTAGGACCGGTTCTCGCTTCACTCCTCGACCTCAACAGTGAGTTCGATGCTTTTCCTCTCCCGTCATCATTTCTCACCATACCCTTGTCGTATCTTGTGCAGTGGACAGGGATAGGCATCACCCACTTATCTACATCATTCTCGCCACTGTAAGACTGGTCCTCATCATTCTTCTTGGTGTTGACCTGTGCATAGACGCTCCCACTGGTAATAGTAAGCAATACTTTTCAATTTTATGCTATATACTGTGTATCTTATGTTTATGCTATCATCTGCAGGTGTGTACAGTGTTTATACGACATTCTGTGTGATACACTCTAATGTGATGTTGACATGGTAGGGTGGTGCCAGAGGTCCTTCGGGTTCTCTGGGACATTA